TCATAAAATAGCCAATAACAATTCCATTGGGAAGGATGTCCTAGGGCGTACCTAATTGAGCAAAATTATTGATAGGCGTCGGTATATTCAATAAATTTCAAACAGATATTATTACAAATTAGATAAATAAAATAGAATTACCATAGTAAATTTCAGAACTTCCATCCTTCTCTTCTCAATCCAATTTGAAGACTGACAATTTTCATCGCATCATTGATAAAATAATTCAACACTAATCTTTATAGTAAAAATAACAGTTTGTTTTTATAATTTATAATACAATATTAATTTATAAATATAGCAAGTTGCAAATTACATTAAAGAAATTAAAAATTAATATATTTATTTATATTATTTTGTTATTTCATGTAAATAGTAAAAATTAGTTTATCAACCAACTTTTTTATGAACTATTTTATTAATTAATTCTTAACATACTATTGACTAATATTTAAACGCGGGTAAATACCAGTAAATATTAATTTATGAATTAATAATATTATATTCGTAATTTATTGAAGAAAAAAAAAAGATAGATAAATATCTAATTAAATTATCCCATAAATATAATTATTGGATGGAGATGGATAGTTTAATTAAAAATTATTAAAATCAAATGAAAGTTTTTTCGTAACTTACTTAAAATTAATAAACATATTAGTGAAACGTGGAGAAAACTTTCAAATTAGTTAAAAACAAATTGTACTTTTATCATATTCATTATTATTGTTAATCGGATATGTGAATAATAATGAAGTATTCAAACTTTAAACAATTTGTAAAATCATACGTTCAAGCTCATAAAAATAATTTAAATTAAAAATCATTGCAATTCAAGAAATATAAAGCACCATGAAAAACATTGATAATGACCTCCGTTGGCTTTACATATCTTATCAACATTTTATAGATTCTCTTACATGTATTCGTTGCAGGTTCATGGATATGTCATTAATAATCAATATTAATTATTATGTAATATTAATCATTGGTATTAATAATTTATACGTTAATTGCTAAATTAGTTTTATTTAATACAAGGTTGATATATTCCTGTTAGGCATAATAATGTCACTAGTCGTTGATCGGTAATAATACAAATTTATTATGCATATGAGTTATGATTTTTTAATGAATTGTCATTTAAAAATGAAAAGATAAATTCTTATTTATGTTTCAAGTTATATTGCATTTATGAACGATTAATCAAGAGATATTCAATATTAATATACATTTCAAACTTCAAATAGTTTAATGTTTTAAGAGATATGAGTATATGATAATTGAATAATTTGAAGTTTTTCTAACTTATGAATAATATAAAATTTGCCCAACATATTCATATTCAATATTATAAGTTATAAAATTTATCATAAAAATAGATGTGTATTCTGAAAAGTAATCATTTGTAACTTTATCATGCAATATTATAAATATACAAAGACAATTATTATGAGTGATAAGAATTCACCACATTTATCTATAAATTCCTTTGACATTGACACCATTTGGTCGTTTAAACTTGATTGGTATATTTGTAAATATACAAGGCTTGATGCAGTCGATTTTCATATAGAAAATTCATACTTAATTCTGCAAACAAAATTTTATTTATACCTAATAAAATATTCTATATTCCTATTTATTGATAATTAACCACAATTTAAGTATTTTATTCGGAATTTTTTTATTTTATCGTTATCATACTGCATAAATATTGTTTTTTTTCTATCTTCAATTTATCTGTTACAAGGCAAATCACGAAACGAGTAGTACGTATTTTTAAAAACTTTTTATATGAAAATTACTTGTAAAATACTTATAATTGTTACATGACTTAAAAAACAAACAATGAATATTCTTATATTTGAATGGTTTAGATTAAATAAATTACATCTAAATCCACTTGTAAAAAATGCATCTATTTTTTTTTTTTTTTTTTTTTGTTTGCAAATTAATAATAATTATTAATCATAATATTCATAAAAAGAATAAACAATTAAAATTTTGACATTTCAAATTTTTGTATACTTGTTCACCTGATAGCATTATAATTATGATACATTTGTAATTTAATTTTTTACAATTACGGCATTCTATTTATATTCTTTATTATTATATTTATTATGAAAAAAAAAAGTTGAATTTCATGTGAATCTCAAACGAGGAAAGCTCAGGAACTAATAACAATTTTTCTTAGAAACCTCGTGAGAAAAGAATTATAACAATATTTTAACAATCTTTATGAGAGAAAAATGATGTATATTGTATTTGTTATGGAATTTTGACATTAATAATCATAATATAATAGATGAATGAAATAGATTTCTATAATTGAAAAATTATTGTCAAATATAACAATTATTTTGAGAATTGAGTTAATGATAAGCATAAGCAGGATAACTCATAATTATCCAGATTATCATGGCAAAAAATACTAATTTCAGGCTACGTAGAATTCAAAATAAGTTGAACGTTTAAACACACCAAAATTATAATGGATTATAAATATTTTTGGAATTATTAGCTCTATAGATTGATTCTCAAGTCGAGGATAAATCCATACATGTTTATTAAATAAACTGAGTAAAACGACACGATTATGTGATTATCTAACGATTTGTAAATCGATTTGTAAAGTATGTAATAATAAGTAGCGATGGTCGAGGCGACCCATCAGGTTTTATTGGCCTTCGCATAAGTGAGTAAATGATACTTAAATATAGCTATACATGAAGTATCTAATCAATCAAGCAGAGTGCAAATAAAATATATATTATTTATAGAATGTATCAGAGAATATTAAGAATAGGCTTAAATTTTACTTACATCACTATTATGAAATTGCACCAATACTTATCAATATTCCGTGTTCATATAATATATCGCATACTATAATATTATTTAGGTTTAAATAAGATAAATACCGTAACGTATAATTCAGATAACAGCACATTTTTTTATGAAGAACGTTCTATTATTTTTACTATTTATTGATTTTTCATTCGTATGTTTTAGGATATTTGCATGATAATGATGTATAATTAATTAAATACAATAAAATAGCTTAGATATTTAATACATCATAAACGAATATATATATATATATATATATATATATATATATAATGATCGAAAACTACCGTAATGTACAATATAAACATTTAATGATGACTGAAAACAAATTTATTGACAATATAATATATTGTAGGTAAAAAGTAAATTAGAAAGCAAAACATATAATATATTCATCATCTGTTATCAAACTTTTATAACATTTTTATTACACTTATATGTTTACAATGATACTAATTCAAATACATTAGATAAAGATAAAAATAATGTAGATTAAAATATAAATTCTATTAATTTTTCATTAAAACCATTCGATAACTGTCTAAATAATATTTTAATGAATTGCTATTTCATGTTAAAAATTGTGTTCTGAACAATATCATACAAAATCTGATGAAGTTTTTCTAACGCAGTTTATTTTTAAATTACATTTTATAGTTATTTTTTTAAATTTTTTAAAAATCGTATTCTTTTTGGCTCTGTATAATATAGTACATTCAAAAAAAAAAATAATAATTTTCTTAATTAATAATCTGTAATTAATTATTTCTTTTTTGTTTTTGTTTTTGTTTTTTATATATATAATGCAAATTGTTGATATTTTATTTTTTAATATTAAATATATTAAAAGCTTATGAAATATAATTGATTCGATGGTTAATGAATTATAGATAGTATTTTTATATCTAATTGCATATAATTGGATTGTTTATTTTCAAAAATTCTTTCACTTAATGTTAACGTTTAAAATATTTCATTATACTAAATACCAGTGGCTTAACAATTTCATTTCTATAATAAATGTATTATTTAAAAGAAAAATTATTACCTTATAAAATATAAGAACATAAAATATCCATGAATTCCCCTTAAAATTACAACTAATTTAATAAATCTATGAAATTCGATTCTAAAACATATGTATTTGTATAAAATAGTAATATTGATTATATAATTACAATTTTTTTAAAATAAAAAATTAGAAAAAATATTACTTTAATAAAATTATAATAAAATGATAATGATAAAGATAAAATTATATCCGACTCTAATGAGTCGGAAAATATTTTTAATTAAAATTGCACATTCTAGGCCTTTGTAATTATTATAATTATTATAAGTTCACTTTTTGTATTAATTTCATTTTAACTATAATCTAAGAATGTATTTAGAACTTAGTCACATGAACAATATAATATTAAATCGCATGAATTATAATATAATTCAAATGACTTTAATAAATTTTATTAATCGTTTGCATAAAATCATTTGAAAAATTTCATTTAATATACAAAAATATATTTTCACCAATCGTTAACATAGTTGTAATTATTTTTATTAATTTTTTATGCAATACATTCTATCCGTTAGTAGTAATATATTACATTTTAAAAGTTAGCAATAAAATTACAAAATTAATAAATATTGTGAAGAACTACATAAGTATTGAATTAATTTTTTTCTCATTTGGAAAATTATACAAAAATTATATTAATGATATTAATATATAATTTGCAAATTAACTTTAGATGAGTACTTGCAAGAAATAATTATCCAATTAACTATTTTAATTATATGTACATATATGCGAATGTGTGTGTGTGTGTGTGTGTGTGTGTGTATATATATATATATATATATATATATTTATTTATTCATTTAATTATTTATTTATATGTATATAATATCAAAGATTAATTACACTTGAAACTAAAAATTATTGTTTAAATTACATTATCTTTTTAAATATCCCACATGAAAAAGTTAACTTTTAACAATTCAAACGAAAATGTGAAAAAAATATATAAAATAGAATTTAATCCACCAATGCCATAATTCGAGATTGAGTACTACTATACGAATAATTAGAATTTATTAATACTTGTAATTATCGGAATTTTAAAAATTTTTATATGTTTGTGAGAAAAGATGGACGTAATGATTAATCAAGGTAGGATAGGAAAAACTTAAAATATCGACGTCAATGTTTAATATTGCTCATGGAATATTCGATCGCCGTTCCATGATGAAGTAGCATTATTTGCATATTGTCCATATCCCTCAAAATCATGATAATCATTATTATTTCCACTAATATTGTTGCTGGTGTTTTCTTCGGCATTGACTTGCGACGGCACGTATATACTCTCCACCTTTCCCCAACCAGCCGCTGTACTTTGATACCAAATGCCAGTGGTATCCGTAACAGGAGGTGGCAACTGGTCTGAATCATCATCCATACCGGGTTTCCCAGTAACAGAATCAGAACCTACGAGTATCTTGTTGGCGCCTGGTAAACCGTTGCCAGATCCACTTGGCAGTCCGCCGGCTGGTCTCCTCCCAAGGTACTTGGTCCGTTCTCGCGCATGATGTCTTGGTTCTTCCGCGTCGCCATTAGCAAGCGTCGTTACTTCCGGCACGAGTGTCGATAGTAAATTCGGCTCCGTGTACATTTGATGAGGTAAAATTGGTGGATATTCCGAGTTGGCGTTACTCCTTGACAGATCGTCTTGCCTATTATACGAGGTTTCTTCGTGAATTAAAAATGCCGATGGGTTATATCGTTGATGAATTTGCTGCTGCGGCCTTTTCCTCTTCAGATCCACGCTGTCTACCTCTCTTTGTCTCTCACGGTCAACATCATCCTCCGTGGAGGTTGGATTAAAGGATTGCGGATTGGCTGTCGATGCTTCGAAATTCTGATCATAACGATATCTCGAAGCATCCAAATTCCTATTAGAATTGATTTCACTTCTTTCCGCTTCGTTATAATAATTTTCATAATAATTGCTTTGCTGATTATTATCATTAATATTGGTTGTGATATATTTATTATTATGTGCACTATTATTCGTAACATTATTTTTCTCAATACTATAATTGTCGTTAGTTTGCGGAAGTGAATTATTTTCTGATTTTTTATAATAATTTTGATATCTTCCGTCGTAATTGCTGTCGTAATTATTGTCATTATTTTTATTGCCACTTTTATCATATTCTACGTAGCGATTATCTTTCGATGACGCTTTATATTTAGACTCTTCAAATCCATTAGAAAGTCCATTATTTATAAAAAATCCAGGATTTTGATCATTTCTGAAAAACAAATGAATCGATTGATTACAAGTCTGGGAAGAAAAAGGTATTTAAACGCGTTCTTTCTCAATTCAATAATAATAATAATACACTAATTTAACCATTACAAATTCACAGTATTAGAATTTTTATATTTAAAAAAAAAAAAAAAAAAGGAAAACAAAAATTAAATATAAGTAATTCGTCAAAGCAGTATATTCTTACTACTTAATTATAATTACTTTTTACTACTTTTAATTAGAATATTTAATAAATTTAATGATTCATTATTATTCTACTATATATTATTCTATTAACAAATTTGTTATCCTTCGTTAGATACAGCCGACTCACGCTCTCATTTACTTTATGTATTTAAAACTCAAATTGTATTGCCGATTATATAATATGTGAAATAATATGGAAACGTTGTAATAAATGAAAGAATGTGCTGGTACGTCGGAGTAAGGACTTTCCCCCTTACCGTTTGAATTCCTGATAAGTGGCACGTGTTTGCTGGCTGTTCTTGCGATTCTTGGAGAAGCCCCGTGGTACGATATCCAGATTCGGTGAAGGCCTGTTAAGATAAGTTGTCGACTGTCGTTCAACCGCGTAATTGCTGGTGCGCCCGTTATTTTCTCCCTGATGATAAGTCAGTTGTAATTCATTCAGCCCGAGACCATTAGAACGTGCTGAGCCATTGCGATTATAGGTGGATTGCTTTTGACGGACCCGAGAGTGATTATCGTCAGCGATATCAGTGCCATCGATGTTGGAAATCCCGGAAGACGTGGAACGAGCTGAACTTCCAGACTGGATATTGCCGCTGTCACTTGACTCAATGGTTGCGGCTCTCTCCTTCGATAAAACGGCTCCCGTATAAAGTCTGCAAAATATATTGCACATGGAAATCTAATTTTGGGCTGAAAAATTGTCGGTCGCACGGTGCATTAGGATTAAACGGCCGTTACTCGAGTTTATGCAAGCTTTCGCTTTAAGCACACAGTAGCAATTGAGAAATATTTCAAGCGCGAATAGTTCTCTCGGATCGAATATTATATAAAATGTCAGAGAAATGACACTCCAAGTGATCGTATCATTTCGATTATTGCATTTCGATATTGATAGATCAACTGCCGGTCGTACTTGTAATGACAAATTTACAATTTACCATAGCGATTATTTGTCCGAATAAAGTCCCACATTATCCTTGTGCCTCTATTATCCAGCCCATCGTATGAAATTCTGTTAATAGCCAAACAAAAATCACTTATCGATAATGTAGTAAAGCTGAGAAATTGCTCGATACTGTTAATAATTTATAGCTCGTAAGGGTATTTGCGCGCTCGACAACATTCGTCATTGTAATCCTAAGTGGCTAAGAGAGCCAAATGCAATTAAAGCGCCGAATGCCGAATATAAAGATTTGGTAATTTACGTCTTGACGGGCGCATAATCCTCGTAAAGGAGATTGGCTTGCTCGCGCAAATTATTCGTATATCCAGAGCTGGCAAGAGAGAGATCGGTGCTCGGAGCCCCCAGTGTGTTGAAGTGAAGGGCCTCGACTGAGGAGGGCTCCTCGGGCTCGTCGAGGCTCTCGTTGAGGGCGTAGAGCTCCGGAGCCTCGTGGCACTCGAAATCGTACCACCAGTCGCAGACAAAGTGGCGCTGATTGAAGATACTGCCGCTCGGACAGAGAAAGGAGCTCTTCGAGCCTTGCGTGCTGCATACGTGGAAGACCTGGGGACAAAGTCGTCAAGATCGTCGAGAGGTTGTGTCACGTTTTGCTGGCTCCGATTAAGTTTTATCGCGCGCCTTGACGAGACTACAGAGTTGCCTGATATACGGAGGGGCCGGTGCCATAAAGGGGCCATTAAAAAATCTCCGTTTGAATTGCACTCGGGCCGTGAAGAGGGGAGAGGAAGCGCTTTACTCGAATATAAATTTCAGATCCTCGCTTGATTAATTTTATGACGGCAATTTATATCGACACTGATTGCTTCTTCATAAATGTAGCGCGCCAATCTTGAATGTAGGAAGTCACTTTTATGATATTTCCAATGATATTGGAAGCCGCCGGTACTGTAGCTTTTAACTTGGTAATCAAACGTTCGGAGGCATTATTTAAGGAGAGGAAGTAATGAAGCTGCAATTTAAGGATATTCGGACGATTCGAGTCTATGTTGCGACGCGGCGATGCACAGGATCATGAATTAACATTTAGATTATTTGAAGGATGAATTTTTCCTTTTTTTTTTTTTTTTTTAGCCCCCCCCCCCCCCGATCGACTAACTTTCATACAAATCAGAAAATGAAAACTTTTATATAATCATTCTCCGTAAAATTTTTTATTCAAATATGTACGCGTTACTTTACTTATTACTACGTAAATTATTTGAGATGCCGTGACATAATTTATCATGCGTCATGTTACGATAAAATGTCACTTAATTAGCTGAAAATGTGGCGCACGTGTAACCAGAACAGCTATTTGACATTTTACAAAGTTTTACGAAAAAAGCATATTAGAGAGCCTTTAAACCACAAATTTTCCATAACCAATCGATTAAACTGAAAGGTACAAAATATTAAATATCAAAATTATAATTTTCTCCATTTAGGCTTCATAAATTTTGAAAAATCTTCACTATTACTGGCTCTATTAATGCTCGGGAAGCCTTACATTATACTTTTTGAAAATTTATTTTTGATTTTACCGATAATTTGCAACTATTGCATAAATGAAATTAATTACATAACAAACTATATTTAAATATTCATATCAATGAACACGTACAGCGCGTATGTTAAGCATTAAAAGCGCATTTAAAAATTGGAAAATATACCAATAAATATTCCTTATTGAAGTATATTTTTTAACGAATTTTAATAAGTTATTAATAAAAGCAAATTAGGATGTCCTGTGAAATTGTATGCATTAGGATTGAATTACTCTCGAGATTACACGGAACTCACCTGACATCTCGCCTCGACGTCAGCGTAGTAACCGCCGGGTGTCTTTCCTTCGCAGCTGAATGAAGTTTCAGGTATGCTTGTTAAATTTGGATAATCCTTGCCGGGTAACCCAGGTACCGAGTCCTGCCAGCCTTTTCCAGGCAACTGATCATTATCGATCGGCGACACACGGAGATGTCGTTCGTCAAGTTTCACCGGCTACATACAAAGTAACAACGAGCATGATAATCGCATTAGTTTATAAATACGGCTGATAATACAATTTTAGCTCAACTTTAATGAAAATTAAATTACTCGACGAGAACTAAGGCCACGAGAGAAAAAAAAAATTCATAATACTTTGGATCAAGCGTAAGGCTTCAAAAATTTGTAACTGATTAAATAAACTTCTAGTTTATATACGCCATTGTAACAATATATACAATTATTTAATATAACTCTCTCTCTCTCTCTCTCTCTCTCTCTCTAATTCCGAAAACTATAGTAAACTCTTTTAAATATCAAACATTTATCCAAGTTTTCATAATTATAATAATTAATTTCAATATATATATATATATATATATATATATATATATATATATATAGACAGAGAGAGAGAGAGAGAGAGAGAGAGAGAGAGAGAGAGAGAGACTTACGCATGTATTTGATATACAAATATATTTAATAATTAATTGAAAATAGTGTTTGATGGTAATTCATTCGTACTTATGTTTTATCACGAGTATTATATTATTAATAAATATTTCAAATTTATAAAAACCAACAAATTGAGTGAAATAAAATTTAAACTAACAGTTGTTATTTTATAATAAAAATTCCATATGGTATTTTAATTAAGAGTGCCAAAAGTACTGACACGCTTAAAATATAAATATTTAGATATTTATGTATCATAGAAGGAGAATTTATTATTAATCTCGTATAAAAAGTTTAAAAATACCATTCTAACGAATGAAATTTTCTATACTATAGTTCTTTTTATGTTTTATTATAATTCTGACGTATAAATGCTGACTTTACTATTTTTCAGAAGAGTAAAATATTTTAAAAAATTTTTAGTGATAATTTGAAAGATAAAGTCTTATGCATAAAATGAAATATCTTATAAAGTCAAATCTTTTTGTTGCATTAAAAAAAAATTCCATTTTCTTTTTTTTTTGTTTTTTGTTTTTTTTTTGTTTTTGTTTATTTTTTTTTTTTTAGCTTTAACTGGAAATAAAATGAAAATAATTTCGCTGCTACATTATGGATGTCACGACTAGACATTTCTTTTAAGGTAAGCTCGAAACTACGAAAACCGTGACAAAAAACAAGCATATGTAGTGCTGAATAAAATTCAACACAAAGATGCTCACGACGATATGACCCGATATTCGCCTGCAATTCACAATCATTATCAAATGACAAAGGATTATATAAAAATGATAATAGACCAGGCAATTCAAAGAGTTAGATAAAGATTTTTCCATTATGACAAAAACAAACCGAGATAATTGTGTAAAATTAAAAGACTTTTAGGGATGTCAGTAAGTGTTAGATTAAGCACGAGGAAATGCTAATAATCCAGGTAAGAATAGCAACTGAGCTGCCCTCGCTGAAGCATCCACACGTGCTCAGCAATCCCTGTATGAACGTAATACTCTAATAAAACGATATGGAAGGTAGTTAACTATTACTCTTAGTCTGCGAAACTCGGCCAGATCGCGAAATAAGTAGCCAACAACATACGTAAGTACGTCGAACGAAGTACTCTCGCGGATCAGCGTCTAAGCGTCCGTAAAAATCATTCCACGACGTGTGGACGAGAGCGCGCTCTCTATTAAGGAAAATAACGTATTGCACAGCAATTGAAAAGGTCGCTTCAATTTATGCACGTACGTTCCACATATCGGCAAACATTGCATAAGACGGCAGGCATCCGCGTGGAAAAGTGTGGGCACGCGAGGAGTCGACGCCAAGGCGGTAAGAGGCCCCGTTTGCCGTCCACGTTTGCCGTCCACGTTAGCCTGCATCCGCGACGTAAGTGTGCGCGAGAGTGACAGGGCGCATCAATCGCAAGCGCGAGCTGATCTTATGCAATGAAATATATCGAGCAGTCGAGTCACCGATCTCCTGGCGAATAATGCTGCGCCGCGGAGGGGACGGGGGATCTCGCGCTCGTCTCGCTCATCGACGCTGAGAGCCAAGTTCTTGCGGATGTCATTTTGTCACAGCTCCGCATGAAAGCACACGCGAAAGCTTCGCGCTTACGTTCGCCAAGACTCCTACAAATCACGATAATAAATGATGCGCGGATGAGTTATTATGGAAAAGGTGTATTGCTGAAATGGGACTGTGACAGGGACTTCGCATGCGCAAGATCACGAAGCTGCCGACGCTTCTTACTGAATTTCATCATTTCTTTCATTCTCTTCGCATGGGGGCTTGCAAATTTTTGGTTATTTCAACGTTACTAGAGCCTCCTTTCCCAGTTCCAATTGAAAGAAAGACAATATTAAGGCCATGCAAAGTTATGCAAAAAGCTCATTAATAGAAATGTGAAAGTGTAGTGGAACGCCTCTGTCGGTAATCACATCGCTGTTTTGTAATAAATCCAAAGAAGCCAAGTTATTTATAAATGTTGTAATCAATTTTAGTCATGAGAGATTTTTTAGTATGAAATCATGGAATATGCCGATTAATTTTTTTTTTTTCTTTTCTTTTTTTTTAATTTCATGAAATTCAAGTTTATTAGTATTAATCTAGTGATATATATATATATATATATATATATATATATTTACGTAATAAAGGTGTCAAATTTTGTTTTTTAAATTAGTGTAGTAGATCGTATAAAAATATTAAACGTCTAATTTCATCTATAATTATCTTCTACTAAATAAAGAAAAAAAGGAGTATTTATAATAAATAGCATTTCATATTCTTGTGAAACGAGATGTGAAATGAGATTGTTATTGTAAAATGTTATTTTCTATGAAACAATCTATCTATGGATTTGTATTTAAACGACTTATTAAAGGGAAATCTCTCGTCATTACGATTTGATCATTTGAATAATAAAATGGAAACAATACTCTTATAAAACTCTATTTTTTTTTTACAAATATTATCAGCTCCATTTGTTATAATTCACGAGAAATGTAATAATAGCAAGGTTTTGTTATAAAACGATTAGTCTCATTAGCATTATCGATATCTTACAGATATAAATTTTTCGTTTAATAATATTAACACACAAAATGGGATAAAATAAACATCATATTTTCACATGAAAAATATGCTCTTGAATGCTGTTTATTAATGAAAACTCTCTGTTCCCACAAAGACTTCGAAGAAATCATTTAAAAGAATATTTTTTTAAATACTTCCTAGGTTAGTTTTAACAGATTATTTATTACACCGATTTTGTCAACAAATTTGCCTTACACTTTTTACTAAATTTTAATAAAATAGAATAATATCCATTTCGAATTTTTTTTTTTTTTTTTGTTTTTTTGTTTTTACTTCTGCAATGATAATTAAAAATCCAAAATTGATATATGATTTGGTATAAATTATGGTTCTCGACGTATAAATTGAGAAATTGTTAGTATGGAAGCTATTGGTCTATTTATAAATGATAATAATCAATATTTCAGTATAGCAATGCGTCCACGAAAGACGTAATTAACAAAGAAGTAAGAGGACCGAATGCATAATCGTATTTATCCATTAATTAAATTCGATCTCCTTAGTAATTACATGTAAACAGATGATGTAACAATTAGTTAATTAACGTATTTTCATTATAAATAATTGGAGATCATAAAAAATTTATCAAATTTAACCTATTTCTACTTTTTCTCACAAACTTATTTATTTTATAGTTAATGCTTTATTATTTACTTATAATTACTTTCAAAATAATTCCTCTTAAATGATATTAATAACATATCAATGCGATTTCTTTAAATCCAATATCCAACTTTTTAAATGCCCGATATCTGTTATGCGTTTCAAAATTTAATTTTTTGTTCACAACGTTTTTATAAACGAATTGGAAAAATATTTTTATAACAAAATATTATATTTCAGTAGGAATATAAATTAGACAAAGAGGATGGAGATTTTATTACAATTAATTACCTCTACTCACAATAAATGTTTTCATAATAATTTTATTGTGATTAAGGGAAACGAGTTACAAAAGTATTGAAGACATAACTTGAAAATAAAAGTAATTACGTGATATTAATCATTGGATGTTGTTTATCCGTAATTACAAGCTTTATTATTGAAACTTTTACAAAAAGAAGGTTTAATGTTTCATATGGAACGACCGCGACATTTACTGCGAATGCAATAGTTTAAACGATGCAACAAAAGGATTTTTTCCATTTTAATTTTACTGATTACTTATATTTAAATCTAACTAAACAAAGGTGATAAAGCATAATTTACGAATGAAGCGGATAAAGAAAAATCATAATACTTAATAATGTAATTGATATTACCGTCTGTGTGAAGACGCAAACGATCGATACGGCAATGATAATTACGACGATCGCTTTTGACGCCATTTCTCTGCTATTCGCGATGCACTAAAAACAAAAGATAAAAATAGTACGGCATAGCTTGTGTTAGTGTAAAACATTAATAAGTAAAAAAAATTATGTAGTTATAAATCCTGTTTGAAAGATGCGTGTGAAAACATTATGAAATATCTGATTTATTAAATACAATATACCAATTTAGCCACTTGCGATGTAAATAATTTTAAAATATATAAATATTATACCATCGTAATCGGCAGCTGTATAGTCAGTACGAAAATCAATATTCAAATTCAAATATAAATCAGTTACTAACACTCTCAAATACTTAAATGGTTAATGAATTCTATGCGTAACGTAAGTATTTAAAAAAAAAAAAAACGAAGAAAAAAAAAATTTATGAAATATTTCATATTTCCTTTCAAAATATTTAAAATATTTTATTTTATTGCAAATATTAAAAATATATCTATATTTTAATATTTACTTTCACTGTTTGGTATTTTTTTATATTCTAAACTGCAAATCATGAACTTTAAGTTTAATTTTAACTACGTTATTTAAGTTTTTTTTTATTTTTTTTTTTTTTTTTTTTTTTTTTTTTTTTATAATACCAAGAATACACACTAAAGTCTTTTGAAAATCTTCAATGAAAATTCTATTTTATATATTATATATTATAGATTATATTATGAATATTAGAATACATATATTATATATATATATATATATATATATATATAAATTATATATTATAGAATATAGCGTAGTAAAGATATATAGAAATTTTAAATAATAATATTGTTGTTTTTTAAGTAGTACCAATGTAAATCTATTATTTATCAAATGGATTTACAATTATTATAATTTTCATTTAAACTTTTTTAAATACTTCTTTTGTGTATGGATACTTTTACACTTTACTTTTTGTTCATAAAAGTTGATATTATTTGAATTTTAATTAACTTGCAATAATTATTGGCAAGATTTTTAAGTCATGTGAATAATGTGACCCTAACATTTTCTCAAATTAAAGCAAAATATTATTAATATTACACAATTATAATTGTAGCAATAAATAATAATCGTAAATTAAGTAATTCGTAAAATATGAATTATATATAATTACGAATATACATAAATAAATCAATTTTGCCTGAAATATGTTTCAATTAAATATCTTATAAAGGTAGCATTAAATACAAATTAAGTAGCTTTATGCTTTTAAGTGTCGCTTATTGATTACTTCGAATTGGTGTAAATACGTGTACGTAAAGTGAACGTTGCAACATAAATCTGACAATATTCAATAGTTTTAGAATATTCATAATTATTATATAGTGATATATATTTTATACGCGTAATAGCATATCATTCATTGTTTTCTGATTAGGGAATATCCTTTGACACGAAAAGTCTACAATTATATCATCGCTTATAATGAACTATTAAAATATATAATAAAAGTAGACGTAGATTGAGTTGCGAAAGCGCAACATTAAGTTATATTCGACAATGTGCGATGCAGTGGTTACGTGCAATATTTTCACATAGACGGGATATGCATTTATTGCTTGTCGTTAATTCATAGGAGTAATCATAGACTATTCAATTTCTCACTTTGAGCAGAAAGTCAAATAATCATTGCATTATCAATGGTTTGCCATATAACTTCAGTCGAATACACTCGTAACGTGAAATATCTAAAGAAAACACGAGCTTTAAAGTTCCTTTGTTCCACTCAATGTGCAATGTCTAAAGTTAATATTTGCGAGTCAGAATTTAAGGTAATTTAATGTCGCTCGACTCGAACTCGATCATCATGCTACATAAAATTAACCAAAGGTACTTTGAATACTTCGTGATTAGTAGTATTTACGAATAGGCTAGATATGACGTTATGGCATATCAAATATTAGAACGAAATGATTAATTTTGTAAAAAAAGCCGTTGAAAAAAATCTAATGAAAGTTTCAAAAGACAAAAACCAAAAGAAAAAAGCAAAAAAAAACAAAAAACAAAAGAGGAAGTGAGGGTTGAAGGGAGGGTATAATAGAGTAAGAAACTTACAAAGAAATACTTATGCGGAATGTAATAAAAATGCAAGATTGAAGAAAGGTGGAAGGATCGTGGAAAAAATTAACGTAAATTATGGTCGTCGGTCGAAATGGTCGCGGGTCAGTTGGATCTGAGATGATACTCCGTGTAAACAATGTGCGAGCAATGAGAATTATTTTCCATAATGGCAAAGCACAGTTTCTCCATGAAATGAGTCCCGACGCTGCATTTGGCCGGCCGCAATTAACTCCCGAGATACGCGTCGCGTCGAATTGACCGGCGCTGAAAGACGGAGCACGCGATGTGAAAGAGCCGCTCGTAAAAATAAAAAGAGCCGAACGATTTCGCGGTAGAGGCCTTAGGTATTTGCAGTAGCCGGGGAGCAAGGCCCCTCGATAGTTCGCGCCTTTCCCCACGCGCGCTCATTTGCAAAATCATCATCTGGTGGAGGAAGGTGGCGCAACGACCGGCATTTTCGGCTGCGGGAGAGAATTCCGTTGCGTAAAGCGATGCATATCGCCAAGTCTATCCGGAGACCCAAGACTGCCTCATCCGCCTTTCGCTCGAGGCCCGAGAGAGCCTTGCCGCTCTCCCTGCTATCCTCAAATTCCATGCGATTTATATTTCAATGGGCCTGCGAATTTATGCAGGCTTAAGCGAGCGTTCAGTGAGGCCAAAGTGTTAAGTACCGAGACAATTTTATTGAAATTAACATCAGCCGTCAATTGAGCTGGGATTAGTCGATTGCGGAGTTTTACAATGCTGTATATTATATTTTTTTCTCTCCTCCTTCTCTTCTTCTTCTTCTTCTTCTTCTTCTTCTTCTTCTTCTTCTTTCATTCGTTTTTTCTTTCTTCTTTGCTTTTTCTTTCTTCTTTGCTTTTTCTTTTGTTGATAAATTAAGTTTTACATCCCGGACAATTCAACATACGTTAAATCTCGCGATTACTTTTCCTTCATCTTGCATTATGGCAAATATTCGCTCGTTCACACTATTATTACATTATGCTCAATTATTTAGAAATATTTACAAATATTATGTCTGAATAAACTCAAACTATTATATAGAATAAGAAACTTCAACACATACGCATATGTACTGAAATTCTTCTTTATTTTCGTAGAAACAAGTTTATCTTCTCTCCTAGAAGGTTTTTCAACTAATTTTATATTTACTCTGCAAAAATATAAATTTAAGAATACAATATTCATAACAAATGCAACGAAACATTGTATATTAATAATTTAGTCCCTTTTTTTTTTTTTTTTTTTTTTTTTATATAGTAAAGCATAATATAGAAAGATATTCCATTAAAAGATTTAAAGATGTAACGTCTACATATTTTATAGTATTTGAAATTTTATTTTTTTTGTATTTCTATGAAAAATCTATACTACGAATATAAAATTTCATAAAGTTTTATAATACTGGAGATATATTTTTAGCATTCATTTTTAATAATTTTAGTAAATGATAGTTGTAAAATACAATAATATTATTATTATTATCTGATCGCTTTTAAATGTTCATATTTCATAATAATAGAACATAAAATTTCATTTCGTAAATAAATAAATATATGTTTATGTATGTATTTGCGTGCGCGTGAGTGTCCGAGTGCCTTTATAACTGCCTAAAGAAATTTTCCAAAAAAAATTTGCTTTCATGCACATTCTTATCTCGAGTAGTAAAAATTTTTACTTCGAATATTCATATCTCAATAAAAAAAAAAAATAAATAAATAAACTGAGCAAATAATTATTATTGTTTTATTTTTGACTTTCATATATTAAACAAATTTCTCATTTAATATAAATATAATATTGAAAACAAATAAAGGAGACAAAAACAAAACTTATTTTTCAACTACATTATTGCGTCAAACTAGTGAACTGTATTAGAAACAGAAACAAAAACTAAAAAAGAAATGAAAAATTCAAACTTTCAAAATATGATCGATTAAAATCTTAATAGCGTTTAACCGACTAAAATAATTAATTCTATGCATCATATTGAAGAGCATATAACATTGTATCACAAAACCTCATAATGAAGATTCTTTCTTTTTTTTTTTTTTTTTCAATAAACTACAAAGGTCTGAGAATGCTGTTTCAATCGTAGTAATTCAAACAATTAGACAGATTTCCCCGTCTCTTAATTTCAGATTTTCAGTTTTTCCTATCGAGGGTAAAAAAAAAAATCTTTGAATAATTCATTCAATATCTTATGAAGAACATAAATATTGCACTTTTAAATTTATAAATAATTAAAAGTAAAATGTATACACTATAAACTTTCTTGAAATTTCTATAGTTCACATATTTACATAGACTTAATCATCTCATAAAAAACAAAATTTCTACCATTGTCTTTCGTACAATGCTACAACATTATCTAGATACTTTACACAATTAAATTTTCCAATTATAAAGGAATAACAATTTTTGATAATAATTTTTAAATTCTAGGATTTGCAACTCTTTATTTTATGTCATTGAATAGGATTAAAAAAAAAAAAAAAAAAAAAAAAAAAATTCAACTTCCAATGTTAAATTATAAATTTATAAACGTTATAAGTGATATCTTATTGCAAGAGAATACAAAATAATTTATGAAAGTTTTAATGTCATATTCCATTAAAATAATTCGATGATATGATATAAAACATAAAATAATATAATAAATTATCGAGATTAGAAATAATATTTCGCACATCCAATAGATAAAAAAAAAAACATTTAATATTATTATTATTATATTATGGCATTTTATTTTAAATTAAATTTTTCGATTTCTTAGTAGCAGCAATAGTATAGTGATAACAATATTAATAGTAGCACTAGGTGCTATACTATAATAGTAATAGTAACAATAGGTAGTAGTAGTTGTAATAGTGGTACTATTCATTTAGTGATAAAAATAAAATTATGTAATAATATTATAATATGCTTATTAATTCTTCAGAATAAAATATAAAATATTTGT